AAAAGAAGGAGAGAACTAAATACCCTAAAGGAAAATGATTCAGACATTGACAGGTTTGTAGCAGAGGAAGATGAAAACATCGTATTGATGACACAGTATCTCAAAATTTTTCTTTAAAAAAGTAGAGGCGTCATCAACAACATTGGAGAAAAGGTAAAAATAATAAAAAATTTAATGCGTCATTTAAAACGATCTATTTTGAATGCAGGAAACCAGATCATCTTCGAATAAACTTCCCCAAACTAAAGAATCACCCAGTAAAGGAGTAGGGTGAAGCAAAAATAAAACCAAAAAAGGTTTATCATAAGTCTTTAGGAAAAACTAGCACCCACGTGAATTTATTTCATGAAATTTATCTAGGTTAATCCATTAGGTGAATTTCATGAAATCTAAGTCTGCATATGATAAATATAATTTTTCATGTTCATAGCATTCACACATGCGTGCATTGTACCATATTAGACAATTAGGAATATATTTAGCATGCTTCGCTCTTGTCCACTCTCTTTAGTAAAGCAAGTCGATCTTGGTTTGATCCTCATAGATTAAGCTTCATATTTATACATTAAGAGCACTTTCATGTTAACGTTTTCTTAACAATTTCTATAGCACATAGAATAAATCATGAAATTTGATTGTTAGAAATAACTCTCATATTAGCCTTAGAGAAACTCATATCCTTTCTTATAGTATGGATTAGTATATATACTATAATATGTCATGCAATCACTATATACCTCTCTCATATTATCATACATTCAGATTAGGAACTCCCTTAGTCAAAGATTTATATTGTAAAACCTTTGCATAAATAAGAAATTACTTGTATTAAAACAGAAAAATTTTCATCGACATTATGAGTGCCAAATGTTTCATCGAAATCATCTAAGTCTTCCAAAGAAATAGACGTTGTCTTCCCTTCCATCTCCTTGAACCCTTCGTGAAAACTTTATCTTCGTGGTGTAAACCCTAAATAATGTATAACATCTTCAGATCATAATCTGCCAAAATTTTATTAAACATATAAAGAATGTGCGGGTTTTTAACTTTTCCCGCCCGTTTAAGATAAAGTACATCGGGGTTTACCTGAAATGGTGTAAAACACGTGACCAATCAACAATCACGACGGGTTTGGGTCGGGTTTTTGGGCTGCTATGTGGCGCTATATCAATGGCGACCGAACCTAAAGCTACATCCAATCACCTGACCTAATAAAAGTTCCCTAAAGTGAGTAGCTCTCACTAACCTTGAAGCAAGATCTCTATCACAACCCGTCAACTTCATGACGTTTACTTATGATGATATATACATTATAAATTAAAATTTATCATGAATCTAAACTAAGGATCAAAAGTTAAACATTGTACATATTATGAAATACAAATTAATAAGTTAACTTTTCCATGGTATCAATAATATAAAAAAAAAGACCTCTTAATATGTTTTTCATAAATGATAATATTATGCAAACTATTAATTATCAACGCCTCAAACAATTTTTCTAGAGAACTATTTCTTACTAAAAAAATTGAATTTTTTTGTAAATGATTTTCACCTACATAAAAACGACAAAAAAACTATCATAATTTCAATCTCTGCAGAAACATAAAGACAAAAGGCAGGTGAATTCAGCAATAATAGCAACAAATACATTATCCGTTCTACGTTTCTTATCCACTGTTTGAGATATAGGGGAAAGAAGAAACTCGTCAGATGGCATTTTTACAAGACCATTCAATTATTCCAAAGTAGAAACAACCGGTAAGATGCCTTTCAAAATCAACTGGTAAGATCCAGACGACTAGTTCATCTTGATATAAGTATAATTGGGAAGATCAGCTCAAGCATAATACAAACCATCAAATTTTACATCTTAAAAAATGGAGAAAATGTGTCATCAGCAAAATGAATATTCAAAACCAGCTCATAAAAATGTGTTATTGCAGAAAGAAGATTCAATATCAGCACATAAAAAAGATTCCAACTAACAGAGATGATATAATCTGCTTTCCAAAAACCATGAGCGCCATTCATTACATACATCATTTTACTCACAATATTATAATGAACTTTCAGAATGAATGACGCAGACCAGAACTTGAGTACATGCCACTACAATTTTTATTATAAATGAAGAAGCCTAAAGACATAAATTGAGATGACAAAAGATTCGCAGAATTATAGCAACCCAACAGTTCAGAAACATAAAAAGCAATAAAACATCCATTTGAATATTTTCATTTAGGTGTTGACTGCACATATAGCTCATCCTCATCCTCATCTTCATCATCATCGTCATCACCTGCACCAACCCAGTTACTTGGATGATGCTGCGAAGAAGGATTTCCTTTGAGATCTCTTCTACCTGCAAAGATGTGAACGAATACCATTAGCCAATGTCTGTATAAAATGTTTACGCAAGATGCTAAAAATAAGCTTCATGCTAAATACACCATTAAGTTCAACCAAATTATGTGCTTTGGCCTGCTGTATGTAGTACAAAGTCAAGGAAATTTCTCATAGCATTTATACAAGCCTTCTCAACAGTTTAGCAGGTAGTTTGACAAGTTACAACAGGTGAACTCGTAACTCATGAACCTTGGCAATGAAGATTCTCCTAAAGGTCACTAACCCTCTTCGGCAAAATGGTCTAATGGGATTCACCTCCGAAGGAAACATCAAGGGTTCACATAGACCACTTAGATCAGAGCTCTCCCTCCAAGGAGAAGTATACCCTCAAGGCTACCTATCGTCACCTCAGCTACAAGGAAGGATCTAACTGAGTGGATTCAAGCTCACCTCATCACAATTAGCCGACCATGTAGTTCATTACCCCTGCAATTTAAGCAAACTTGCCCTCCACATTGAAGAGGTTCATGGACTCCATCGAAGGGGTCATCAGTTCCACCAAAGACTCATCAACAACAATCCTTCAATCTAAACCATCAACAAACTCGCCTCTATCCACTCACTCGTAAATACTTTGCACTAAGGGACTCGCTCAAAGGATGAGAACTTGAACCAGAAAGATGCAACTATTCATACGGCTTAGAACATCATAGTGACTAGAGCAGACCATAATATGAAATTTAGTATGGTACATATTCTTCTTTTTTCATACAGTCTTTCACATAGCAAACAAAATCAAATAAACAAAAAATAAAAATGCATATTTTAAATCTTTTAGTACTATCTAAAGAGACTATTGAGCTAGTGATATACTTTCCCTCAGAACTTCTTGTTTTTCATATTCACCATAGGTTTTCGGGTCCTAGTTTTCTTAGATTTTCCTGCTAGTAAAGTAGGGTTTGTAGATCCAACATCCTGAAAGGTGCAATGTACGTGGATTGATGTCAATGTCTACAAGACGAGCACATCTTAATGAACAAGCCAACCTTAAATATGAACCTGAAAAACCAGAATTACACAAGTCGCTTTGATCTTACGTAGAAATAATAAATGTTGACAAAGATGATTCAAGATGCCTAGTAGGGCTACCAATGCATGTACCAAGAGAGAGCACCCCTAAAGGATCCTCTGACTTGATTGTTCACCATAGGAGGCTGTAAAGAAGAGTGCTGACTTCGACACCCAATCTAGATCTCAATCGCACTATGACGAGTGATACAAATATAACCAACCACCTCAGCCCACAAGGATAGAGCCTGAACTAACGAATATTTTTTTCCATAAAGCATAGGAGAGACCACATTAAAAATTCAAGATGCCTCTTCTAGAGTCTTACAAGGAGCAAACTGACCTAGCAAACCATGTGGTTATTTTTAAGAAAAGTCACCATTATTGGACATCAATAATGCCTTAAAATGCCACTTTTCTTTATGACTCTCAACGAGTTAGCAATCAGGAGATTCACTTACCTACCTATGAAAGTGATCACCTTTTTTTCAGAGTTTAAGTGAATATTTGTAACCCAATTAGTGAGTGCCAAGTAGCCTTAAAAGTGCTCCTAAGCTTTCCACAAGATGCGACAAGAACATGTGGCAACTTTTGAGGCCAGGATGTCATTGTTGGACATCAATAATACTTCAAAATTCCATTATTCATTGTGACTCTCAAAGAGTCAAAAACATTGGAGATTCACTCGCCTGTCTGTGGGAGTGATCACGTTTTTTACTGGGTTCAGGAGAATATTTGTAACCCAATTTGTGAGTGCCTAGTAGACTCAAAGAGCTCATAAGCTCTACTCAATATGTGACATGAACCTGGCAAGTCACTGAGAAGTTTCATTGTATGATTCCAAAAGTCAATAATTAAGGAGAAAGACATAGAATCTACCATCACCCTAGCTACTTTGACACAAGGTTTAAGGCAATGTTCATTTCGTTATACACTTGGACTATAATAGCCAAGGATGTTGGCTGAATTACTTAAGCTCATCAACAACCACACCAATATAAAAGAGTATAACAATGTGATTGAGTGTTTTTTATCTGCTCAACCACAAGAGCCTGTCAAAAAGAGTTTGATAGCGAAGAAGGTAGTGATAAAGAAGTCTCCCAAAATATCAAAAGTAGATAGGAAACTAAAAATGGTGCGAGATCATAATACTCCAAATCACCAAAGACTGCCTTTGTAGTTTAATACCCTCAAGATCACTAGACCGCTAGTGTCGAGGTTGGAAAAGCATCCTCACGCCACTTGCCCCTACAAATAAGCTATATTCCATACGTCCAATCAATCTCTTGTGAGTATCAATGGTTGAGTAAGTAGATGCCATCTAAAACAATAAGTTTTTCAAGGGCCCAATGCTCATAAAGGAGAATGTGCACGTCAAGGGCACATTAAGGTACTACACTTTCATCAAAGATCACAAATATGACAGAGGAGTGCAACCAACTTCATGGACTAGTTGAAGATTTCTAAAAAGTTAGAAAGTTAAAAGGAGTTCATACTCAACGACCCTAGTCAACACCCTAGGGAAGCCCCAATAGAGAGCAATGGGAATGAGCCCGACCTCACTCACTCCATTCATATAACCAGAGTGATGCACTCTAACATGAATACGGATCGAGTTGAGTCATCCTCAACAACCAAGAGGCTTCAAGTGGGAAAGGTCAACCTGCATCCACTTGAAAAGCACAAAGGCCTTCTGGATGGAAAACCTACAACGACATGGTGGTTGTCAATACCCTAGTCGCCAACTATGAAATAGAAAATATATTAATTGAATCATTGATACATGGAGTTCTGTCAACATCATTTTAAAATCAAATTTTTATAAAATGAATCTACTAATCTTCTAGCAAACCCCCACTCCAAGCCCTCTATATGGTTTATGAGGACAGTGCCAAGAAATAGAGCTACTCTACCTACCTGTCACATGGGACAAAGGTGATTAGCAAGATACGACCATGGAAAACTTCATCGTGGATGCCCCAACCACATACAATGCCATCTTTGGGAAGCATCACTTGAATACTTTCACGTGATGGAAAAATTCTCAATTGACGATAAGAAGATCCTCTTGAGAGGCGACCTCCGCAATCTCACACTTATTAAATGAGAACAATGGAGAAAGTGGAAACCTCATGTAGTCTCATACTTTTACTGAGACTAGAGACTACAAAGGTAATGGAGGTCTCAACCATAAAAGATGAGTCTGAAAGAACACTAAGGATAAGCACCACCTTTAGTTCGAAACATGGTGCAAACTCATACAAACCCTTAAGGCCAACCTCGATATCTTTGCATGGATGGAAATCGAGATGCTTGGCATTCATCAAAAATCATCTGCCATAAACTCAATGTGAGAAGAGATGTCAAGCTCATTAAGTAGAAAATTAGGAAGATTATAGCTATGCCATCGAGCAAATTAATAAAGAACTAAAGAATCTACTCAGCGTTGACTTTATTAAAGAGATATATGGATTTTGAAGTAGTGATGGTGCAAAAGGAAACTAGAATATGGAGGATATTCTTCGACTTCCCCAATCTCAACTTGGATGACCAAAGGATGACTATCCACTCCCCCTAATCAATTCACTAGTTGACTCAACGATCAAATTCTCTATGATGAGTTTCTTAAATACATTTTCTAGCTACTATCAAATAAAAAGGCATCTAGAAGACTACAAGAAGTGTGCTTCATCATATGAGAAGGACTATACTACTATAAAGTGATGTCGTTTAGATTGAAAAATGTAGGAGCGACCTATCAAAGAATGATGGACTGCATCTTCAAAGAGCATAATGTCTAGAACGTCGAAGGGTATGTAGACTACCTATTCGTTAAAAGTTAGTTTCCTAAGCAACACATTAGAATTTGAAGGAGATGCAAGTCACATTATAAATGTATAATATGTGACTAAATCCACTAAAACATACTTTTGGGGCAGACTTGGCCAAGTTCATATGCTTCCTCCTCACACTTGAAGCATCAATGTTAACCCAAACAAGGTAAAAGAAATCTTGGAGATGTCACCTATGGCTGTCAATTAAGTATGCCGACTCACTAGGAGAGTTTCATTTCTTTTCCAGGCTAGGAGAAAAATATTTGCCCTTCTTCAAAGAGCTGAGGAAGGCTAAAAAGTTTATATAGAGCGAGGAATTTGAGGAAACCTTTCCACAACTAAAGCACCTCTCCCCGCCGCCTCTATTTCAAAGTCCAAAATAAGGCGAGGACTTATTGTTGTACCTGAGTGAGCAAGGACGCAATCAGCTCAGTACTCATCAAGGAAGAGGAAAATAGACAATGACCAATCTATTATGTTAATAAGAATATAATAGAAGCACATCAAAGCTATCCCATCATGAAAAATTTTGTATGGACCCTCGTAATCTCAGCTCGGCAATTGAGGCCATACTTTTAAACACGCTCGACCCAAGTTGTCATTGATCATCCACTCAAAGTCATAAGTGCTAAGACAAATCACTTAGGCAGATTTTTGAAATGGTTGGAAGAATCAAGCGAGTTCCACATCACCCGCACACCATGAATGGCCATCTAAGCTCAAGCGCTAATAGATTTTTGGGCGAGCGACAAGAAAAAAGCTTCAAAGATGCAACAATAGCCCTAGACCTTATATGTGGACGGACCATTAAGTAAGCAAGTCTTAGGGATAGAAATGATTTTGAATAGCCCACCTGAAATAATAATCACAAAAGGTTCTAACAATTATTGCTAGTAACAAATAATAAAAAAATTGTATGGAGCCTTAGTCTCCAGCCTATGATTCCAAGAAAAAATAAGACACCTCAGCTAGTAGAATATTCAAATTCACAATTTATGTTGAACCACATAAATGGGGAGTATGAAGTATGAAATGAAATGCAATTAAAGAGCTTAATTAAGATGAAGGCGGAGATCAGCAAACTCACCTTCTTCAAAATAACTTAGATATCTAGTAAATAGAATCAGCTCGCCGACCAGCTTTAAAAATGAGGCAATCAAAAAGGATGAATAGCTTTAAAAATACTCAGGCATAACATTGAAAGAGAAGAAGTCATGTATGTTGATAAAAATCGTCTTGCAAGTAGGATTGATCCATCATTAAATACTTGAAGATAAAAAAAATAAAAAACAAAGTAAAAAAGAAACGACAATGAAAAATAAAGTCAGAACAATTCACTTGCCAAGCTGTGAGTCAGAAAACTCGCTAGCCGTTGCGAGTACAAAGAAACCAAAATCAATACCCCTAGCTTAGGAGACTCACCCTTGGAATATCAAAGGCTAATTGACTGAGGTAGGAGCCAGCAAAATTCTTACCCAGGTTCAAGTTTAAAAGTGATTCAAGCTACTCCCTTTAGGAGAGCTAAAGCTCCTAGGAAAAAACACCTACAAAATAGTCAAAGCCCATAAGAGAAGGAAAGTCTCCACTTAACGAGGTCACCCCACCATATTATTTGTCGAGTTACCATATGAGATGGAAAGTGTCCACTTAATAAGGTCACCACCTAAATTATTTATCGAGTTAACCAAAGTTGTGCAAAAATTCTGGGGAAGCCTAACAAACTCACTTCTACCATAAAAAAACAAAACAAAATAAAATTAAAAGTAATAATAATAAATAAATAAATAAACATGGAGAAAATTCACTCATATACACTCGCGGAGTTAGTAATTCATATTTGTCAAGTAGTGATTTAATTCACTCACTAATTGCAACAGAAGTTATTCATATAAATTCACTAAGTGCAATAATAATGAGTTCTCAAACTCATTAGTCTAGCCCAATAGGCCAACTCCTCCCTTAGCCAAAAGATCCACAATGAAAATAGCGTGATTCCACTATAGTCAAAAGGTCATAGTGGTTACCTCTACGAGGACAAGGAAGTCTAGCAAAATGTAAGGCCCACTAAAGGAATTGCAAGTCTAGTAGTAGCAAATAACTCAATAGGCCAAGTCCCCGCTTTACAACATGATACACAATTAGGGGTGTAAAAGAGTAGAGTTGAGCTCAAGTAATGCCTAACTCGAGCTCAACACGTCAGCCAAATTGTGAGCTCGAGCTCGAATCGAGCTCAAAGGGCGTGCTTGAGCTCAACATGTAAAAATAAAGGCTGGCTCGAGAGCCAACTCGTGAGATTGTTGTTACTACAGTAAGAACACACAGTGATCACCCCGCTGGAGAAGAGAAAGGTTGTTATTGCTACTACTTTTTCTCTATATATAGGATGGCTTGAAAGTAAGCATGAAGCTTTTTCTTTCTTGGGAGTATGAAATTATCCTTTATGTATGCATTTTTTTAGAAAAAAAAAAAGCTACAACTTTATTTACACCTTTTCTTGAAAAAAATCTACTTCAGCTACAATAATTGTAGTTTTTTTTGGGTAAACATTTAAGATTTTTTTTTAATTCCTAATAGTTAACAAGAGTTAACTCACAAGCTCACGAGTTGAGCCTTGTCAACCTAGAACTCAAGCTCGTTTGATAGACGAACTCGATTTCAAGCTAGAGCTTGAGCTTGAGGCTCGATAAGCTCGACTCACGAGCTCATTACCGAGTCGAGTTCAAGCAAGCTCACGAGACAACTCGGCTCATTTACACCACTATACACAATAAGTAGGAGTGAGTCCCCGTAAAAAATGAGTCTATGTAGTTATTAGACCCACAGTTTAAAAGTTTGGCATAAGATACAGCCTACCCAAGACGATACTATGCCAAGTTTATATTACAAATAAAACTTGTTAAATAGCAAGTCCCTATCACACTGACTTCTTATTATGAAAATAGATGATATTTCATTCTATATATTTACCAACTAACAACTCAATTAAAACAAAATCCCTTAGTGAGGATATTCAACTTCAAGACTTGGTATATTTGAAAGAACCCATAAGGATTTGTTGGAATTACTCATACTCAACATCTCTCGAGTTTCCATTTATCAAGTTCAAGTTTGTCAATTTATTGTTATATGATTCCTAGATAAGAGTTGATTAAGTAAGTTATTTAAATATATTTTATTATTATTTCATTCATATTTTATATTAATGGTGAGTAATAACATGCAATCAAAGAGCCGAGTTTTTATATAGTTATGTAGTCATAGCTAAGTTAAAATTTAGAATAATTTTATTCTTTGGTGAGTGTTACCAGTTATTAGTCACACAAGGAAGCCAAGTTCAAACACTTATAGAAATCTACAACAACTAGAACGAGCACACAAATAAGCAAAGAAAAAAGCAATAAATATTTTCCATTTCATTTAACTATAAACTATTACACGTATAATTTACCCTATAGGCCAAAACAAATATTTGCAAAATATACAGCGACTCTATCAAAACTTTCACTCACACTGTTGCTTACTTCACCATTCATTTCCACATAAAAGAAAAAAGTGTAGAGTCATCAAACTTTGGGTCAAGCACTCAAGCTCGCCCATGAAGACGAGTGTCCTAAGAGAATACTCGATCCCCTCCTCATATTTAAGATTCAATATCTCTTGTTACTTGATGGATCTGAAGATGTACTTATCCTCAATCGCCATGACCCCTGTCGATAACCTAATGACTTCAACCTCTATGCGCTCTTTCGCCCGGTGCACGAATTCCTTTAAGGCCAACTCCAACTTTTCCTTTAAGATTTCCTCCTCGATGAATTTGTCCCTCACAATTCATAAATCTTATTTTCAACACCGAGTCAGGCTCGCCTTCAGATAGCTTTGAACTTAGACATAAGCCTTCTTCAAGGACTCCACCTTCATAGTAACTCATCACCCACAACAAGCTAATGCGAAGGTGATTTTTTAAGTAATTCACATAAAACTCTATCATGAAGCCAAGATTGTTCTCTAAAATTAATATGATTGGCTCATCCAACAACCTTGCAAAAATCGCTTCCCTGTAGTCATATATTCACTTAGGATAATTGACTAAGTTAACTTTACCCTTGGAGAATGCTGCCTCTTCAAAGTGTGAAGGGTCTAAGTAGAAAGCTTAACTCCTCTTATTTATCGACCTTAGAGACGCCTTGTTTTCCTTGTCAAGCATAGTCACCAATGGTTGTGGGCAACTTACTTCCTCAACCCTCCTTCAATAGCCTCTTCAATTATAAAACCACATCTACTCTACATTGAAGAAGATGCCTTTATCACTTTCACTATTAGATATTGGTACCCTCTTCTTTTATGCAATCACAAGCAACTTAGCACTCGCCATATGCCTCATTGCACTGGCTCCTTCTAACAAGCTAAAACCACCACCTATATTCTTGCATTTTTCTTAGGCACCTCTTGCGCCTTCTTGGGATTCATAGATGGATCCATTCCCTCTCCTCACCTCTTCCTCTCCTGAGGAAGAGCCTTTGCCTATGAACCTCGGTACTACAGGGTCATTAGGGAAGGAACAACTTGGCATACCATCTACAAGTAAAAGAGTTGCATGTTAGGGAGGGCAAAACACTGTCAAATACTTTCCTCCATCGAAAACAACAAAACTTAAGAATGACATCACATCATTTG